GGGCCCGGCGCCGGCCACGAGGTCTTCGGCTCGGCCTACTGCACGGCGCTCTACCTGCGCCAGCGCCTGGCCGGCTCGCCGTCGCCCAAGGCCTACGTGCTGGGCAGCCCGGCGCTGGCAGCCGAGCTGGAGGCCGTGGGCGTCGCCAGCGTGGGCGTGGGGCCCGAGCCGCTGCAGGGCGACAGCCCCGGTGACTGGCTGGCCGCGCCGCTGGAGCCCGACGTGCGCGCCGTGGTGGTGGGCTTCGACCCGCACTTCAGCTACATGAAGCTCACCCAGGCCGTGCGCTACCTGCAGCAGCCCGGCTGCCTGCTCGTGGGCACGAACATGGACAACCGGCTTCCGCTCGAGAACAGCCGCTACATCGCGGGTCCGTGCGCCCCGGGGGTGGCGGCGGGCGGTGGAGGGTGGCCCCGGGCTCCCTCCCCCGCCTCTGACCCCGGGCGCTCCCTTTCCTCCCCTCTCGGCCCCGCAGGTACGGGCTGTCTGGTCCGCGCTGTGGAGATGGCCTCCCAGCGCCAGGCCGACATCATAGGTAAGCCCAGCCGCTTCATCTTCGACTGCGTGTCCCAGGAGTACGGCATCAACCCGGAGCGCACCGTCATGGTGGGGGACCGGCTGGACACGGACATCCTCCTGGGCGTCACCTGTGGCCTGAAGACCATCCTGACTCTCACTGGGGTCTCCACGCTGGAGGACGTGAGGAATAACTGGGAAAGTGACTGCGTGTCTAAGAAGAAAATAGTCCCTGACTTCTATGTTGACAGCATAGCCGACCTGTTGCCCGCCCTTCAAGGTTAAAGATTTCGTTTCTCCAATCTCTAGAATAAAAAAAAAAAAAAATTGAAAAATCAGTTACCCAGGTTACTAGGTGGGGCTCGGCCTCCGCTCTGCTAGAGGGCTTCCAGGAATGTGCTGCAGCTTAAGCAGTGGTATTAGCTGTTAACCCTGTAAGGGGACATCTGCAGGTGACTTTGTTTACAGACGTTTGTATTCTAAGATGCACTTTTTAAGCTTGGAGGGCACTGTGGGGGTCCTGGGCCTCGGGTTCAGCATCTGCCCAGGATCCTGGCAACTTGGGGCCTGCTGGTGGGTCTGGGGGGTGAGTGTCATGTATTTTGCTGAAAACCTCATTCAGGGATCAGGCCCCTTGCAGAGCGTGGGGAGGAGGGGCTGCTGATTGTGAGTGTTGTGAGCAGTCTGGACAAAGCAAACCCGGGCCTCCCTCTGGCGGTCTTCCTGGCAGAGGAGGCGGCCACAGCTGCTCGTCGCCTGCAGGGTGGGAGTGGAGGAGGGCTCTTCCAGTGGCATCTGCCTGTCCTTGGGGTGCAGGGTGTTGCCCTCGCCACCCCCCTCCACCTCCTTGAAAACCATTCTGATGTCACAACTGAGCGTCTGTTCCGTTTCAGATACCCAGGGCTGCGGCTCCACCTAGCACAGTTGCACAATTCTGTAAACTCGGCCCGGCTGACCCTCGGCCATCTGAAATGGGCGTTTAAATCCAGGTGACCTGTACTGGGCCCAGCAGCCAGGAGAGCATGGAGGCTGCTGCCGAACCCCAGGCTGCTGTTCAGGGAACCCAGAGTAGTGCTGGTACCAAAAATCATGGTCTTAAAAACTCTTCAACAATGTTGTCATGTGATGGAATGGAATTTGAGGTGCATTGTTTATAGTTGTGCTCTATCTTTTAGGGGACGGTCCCACTGGACTCGGTACCCGCAGCCAGCAGATAGCTACAGGCATGTGCTGGCTGAGAAACGCACACCGTCCAGGGCACTCTCTGGGTGGAGGAAGGGGTGTCTCCAAGAATAGGAAGTCCTTTCAGAAAGCATCTGGTCTCCTCCCGTGCTCGTGTCCTCCGCTGGGGTGGGGGTTAGGTGCCCATGAGGCCATGTCTCTTGGCCCTGGATTCCCTTTTCTGTGGCCTGTCCTGTGTCCTGGGTCTGCCGACCTTTGGGGAGAGCCGAGAAGCAGCTGCTTCTGCAGCCCTTGTAGGGCACAGCCTGGGAAGCTGTCCTGTTGGCCAACTTCTTCCCGGCGCTTTGTGCTGCCCCCAGCACGTCCATCCCCAGTCCCTGGGGTCACAGTCACTCCATTATTCAGAGTTTTCAGAGCAATAAAAGGTCCCGAGTCCCCAGCTCTCCCCAGATCTGGGGTGTGGACTCCATCGTGGGCTAGCCAGCCAGCTGCTCTCCTCCGCATGGAACCAGAGGGCAGCCACTCCTGGGAGGTTGGGGGTGCTCACCGTGGCTCCTCAGGTTCACCTCCACGTGGGTCTGGACGTTGGGCGGGCCTGTCAAGGACAGCGGACGCCCACACCCGGAGCGGCAGCCGGCAGGTGGGGCCCCCCCCACATCCTGCCCCTCGGGGCCGCCGCACTGTGTGAACCTGGATGCGTATTAAATCCTCACACCTGTTCCTCGTCTCTTGGTGGTGTTTTCTGGAGTGTGGCTTCTGGCCTGGGCAGCATTGTGCACCGAGGCGCAGCTGCTCCCGCCGGAGGGTTGGGGGAGGGCTAAAAGTAGAAGGCTATTGGGGAGTTCGGGTTCCAAAGTTGCGACACGGAGCCCTCAGGCTCCACTTGTTTGGGTGTCCCAAGACAGGCAGTGGGGAGCATAAGGAAAACCAGAGCAGAAGGTCGGGGCGCTCAGGAGCTTGCCAGGCTGGTGCAGAGGCGCCCACGTGGCCAGTGGTAGGGGAGCCCCGACCCACTCTGTTGGTGACAGCGGCCATGGCTGCCAGACACAAACTGGGAGCCAGCTGGAGACAGAGGACAGCCAAGAGCCAGGCAGGGCAAGTGGGGCACCCAGGCTGACCTGGCACTGTGGCAAGGGCGGGTTTAGCGTCTGCCCAAGATCCTGCCAAGCGCACCATCCACCCAGTGCCCCGTCTTGTGTTGATGGGCGGGGCACTGGGAAGCGGCTAGGGAATGTGTAGGGAAGCAGGGGCAGGTACAGTCCACAAAGGTCCTTGATTACACAGGCATTTATTGGCGGCTCCCTGGATGCCAAGCCCCCTGCTGGGCACGGGGAGTCTGCAGGGAACACCGAGAGACTAAGACAGCTCCGGAAAGCCGGGTGTGCCCCCAGCCAGACTTCACAATGAGCCGGCTGTTGTCTTGTCCTCCCTGACGTCACAGAAATTACACTCTCCAGATCCACGCGTGCTCCAGCTGCACGCGCCAGGTGTCCAAGAGCCAGGCGTGGTGACAATCCCTCGCCCCACCCCATCTGGGGGAGGGGGCTGCCCTGGCCCTGATCTGGTCATCAGATGGCTGCGCTGGGGCGGGGTGGTGGGGTCAGAGGGGAGGAGGGCGGCTGTGCGGCTCACCACAGGTGTCCTGGGGTCCCCCTAGCTGGCTTTTCGGGCCGCGCAGACAATCGGTGCGTTGTCAGCAGGGGCTGCAGCACGGAGCAGGGCAGCTGCCATCTGAAGCACCCCAGGCCTGTTGGGGTGAGTGCCCCCCCAGTACCCTCTCCTGGGACCGGGACCCACGGGAGGCCTGGGTAGGGCAGGGCAGAGGTGTGCCCACTTCCCACCCCACTACTCCGAGCAAGCCCCCTCCATCTCTGCTCTGCCGTGACCCTGTGTGTCTCCAGGTGAAGAGCAAGCCCTGCCCTGGAGGCTGGAGAGCTCCAGGCCTGCTGCTGGCGCTGGCGGTGGTCACTGCCAGGGCCGTGGAGGGGGGCTTCTTAGCTTTGCTCACGGCCCTCCCAAGGTGAGCCGCACTGAGGACCGGGACAGAGACAGGGACAGTGGGAGGGGGGTAGAGGCCTACAGACCACAGGCCTCCTGTGGAGGAGACAGCAAGAGAATGTGAAGTGGGGGGCACTCAGGAGATATCAGAAATCCTAGGCCGGGGCAGGGAGTGCCAGGGGGCCTGCCCCGCCGCTAGCTCAGCCCGGACCCTCGCTTAGCCACTGCTGCAGATGCTCCGCCTGACCCCCCAGAGCCCCCGGGCCAACCAAACCGCCCTGGTGGATGTGGCCCGGGACACAGCCACCATCTCCGTGACCCCCGCTCAGAGCAACCGCAGCTGGGTGGTGCTGTTTGATGGGCAGAGCGTGAGTGGGCTGGGGGCCAGTGTGGCGTGGGGGCCCATGCAGCATCGGGGTAGTGCTGCTCACTGGCCTGCCTCCCCAGGGCTGCGTCTGTTACCGGCCCCCAGGGCACAGGGCCTGCTTCCTGCACCCCATGGAGCCCCAGGACCAGGAGAACCTGCAGCTGCTGGTGAACACCTCGTGGGTGAGCAGCCCCACGCAAGCTGGTCTGGGGCGGGGGGCCAGACAAAGGGTCCTGTGTGTGGCTCAGGCTATAGGCCCGCCAGGGCTCTGGTTTCAGGGGAACAGAAGGCTCTATCTTCCCCTGGCCGGGGCTGTTGACAGGAGCCAAGGCTGGGCCAATGGCGGGAGGCTGGGGCGGGCACCGAGCTGGGGACGCCTGGTTGCCCGGGCCCCACCTGGCCAGGAGCAGCTGGGAGTGCCCCGTCCCACCCGAGCCTTCTCTGCAGGTCCCAGGGTCCCATGGCCCCAGCCAGGACACTGGCCATGCCCAGGAGCTGCTGGCTGTGCTGGGGAGGCACGAGGTGAACCCTGCCCAGATGGGGGCTGCGGTACGGCACCTTTGCGTGCGGACGCCCATCTACTGGGCCCGTCGCACCGAGGGTGAGTGGGGCAGGACCAGGCCCGGAGGACAGCATGGCGAGGCCTCCACAGCATGGGAGCCAGGGAGGGGAGGACAGGCCCTTCGGGGACTGATGGAGACCCCCCTCTCCGGGCCCCTACGGCAGCGACTTATCTACCTCTGTATCGACATCGGCTTCCCCAGCAACGTCTGTGCGTCAGTCCGCTTTTATTACCTCCCCGACTGAGCTCCAGGCCGGCCGGCCCCGTCCCCGCCGGCCCTGACACCAGCACCCTGGAAGGCAGCTGCCAGCTGGGACTAATAAACCCTTCACCTGGCCGTGGTGGTGTTCACTGTGGCCTCAGGACTGGAAACGGGGGCAGGGAGGGGGAGGGAGCACTGGCCTGGGGGTGGGCACCAGCCTCAGATCCCCCTGGACGGCTCCAGGCCTGAATGGGCCCGGAATTGCTTAGGGGAATGCTGGCTAGCCCAGCTGCTACATGCAGCCTGGCTGAGGGGGACGAGGGCAGCCCAGAAGGCCATTAGCCTGGGCCAGCAGCAGCTAGCCTGTGGGGTCTACTCTGCCCGGGGTCTCCAGCAGTCCAGCTGACCGGATGCAGTCGAAGGGGTGCAGGCTAGCCCAGCACACTGTCGTTGAAGGCCAAGCAGACGACAGCTTTCTGGTGGCCGCCATACTCTCTCTTGATCTCCCCCGTCTCCACACACCAGAGCCGCGCCAGGTTATCGGAGGACGCTGCAGGGAAGGAATGGGCGGAGGGTCAGGGTGCAGCCCTACCCGGCCGAGCTGGAGGCTGGAGCAGGGCTGGGGAGGCGGGTGGGCGGGCTCACCGGTGACAATGTACTGGGAGTCTCCCGAGAAGGCGCAGCCCCACATCCAGCCACGGGACGACTCCCCGGGGTTGCTGCTCCTGATGCTCAGCTCCGTCATCAGGGAGAAGTTGGACGTTCTCCAGATCTTGCAGGTCTGGTCGGCTGAGCAGGTGGCGAGGAGCCTGGGGGGGAGGGGGAGGGGGACGCTCACCCTGTAGCCGCTCCGCCCGGCACCCCCTTCTCATCCACCAGGCAGGCATGACCCATTAAGGCCTCCCCAGGAGGCAGGTCCTCCCCCCTAGGCCCGCACACACGTGGAGTCGGGGCTGAAGCGGCACTGCAAGGCGTAGCGGGTGTGTGCCGGGATCTTGGTCTTGGGGATGAGCTGCGTCACCTCGTCGCCGATGCCCCCTGTGAGGTTCCAGACATAGCAATTCCCCTACAGGACAGGAGGGCAGTCACGGGGGGCCCATGTGCCCAGGGATCCGGGGCCGGGGGGCAGGGCAGAGCACGAGGGAGGCCTGGATCCAATCCAGGGCCATGCTGGCCAAGGACATGGGGACGTCGTTCTGGAGGATGCTGCTGACTGTCAACAGCAGGACGGGAGAGGACGCCGGGGTCAGGGAGCAGCACGGACAAGAAGTCCAGGGGGGAAGCCTGGGACATCCTAGGAAAGCGACGCCAAAGGGAGGAAACAGGGCTCCAGAGGGAGCAGGGCCGAATCACGGCCACCTGCAGGCCAGGGTCAGGAGGTGGACATCGCGGGTTCAGGCAGGGACAGATACAATCAGGCGCCTGGCGGCCCTGAACAGAGCCAAGGGGCTGGGGGAGGCCACAGGAGGCGAGGGTGACGTGGACCAGGAGGTGACAGGGAGGCAGGAGGGAAGTGGACGGACAGAGACTCTGGAGGTGGAACTGACGAGCCTTCTGGGTGGGAGACGAGAGTAGTGGGGTAGTGTCGGAGCCGGGGAGGGGAAGCAGGTCGTGGGGGGCAGGGAGGAGTGCAGCTGCAGGGGGTCAGGGCTGGGGCTGCCAAGCTGGCCCCCACACCCTCCCCCCCCAGGACTCACGGTGCTGTTGACAGCCGCCATGTAGCTGGCATCAGGGTCGATGTGGGTAGACATGATGGAGACCTCGGGCTCGGGGATCAGCTGCTCATTGTGATCTGTTTTCAAGTCCCAGATGTGGATGGCCCCGCTCTGATCCCCCACAATGAGCTCTGCCTGGGGTGCAGGGGAGGTGAGGCAGGCCGGGACCCCCGCCCTCCCGAGCCCCAGGGTGCCTGGCTTCCCAAGGCCCCTCACCTGGTTGGGGTGCAGGGGAGGTGAGGCAGGCCGGGACACCCACCCTCCCGAGCCCCCCTCACCTGGTTGGGATGCAGACACACACAGTTGATGGGCGCATTCACCTGGAAGATCCGCTGGCACTGCAGGTTCCGGGACCTGGGGGTGGAGGGCTGACGGTATTGGCACCCTACCCAGATGCCTTTTACCAGGCTGATTTATCTAGTCTTTCTGCTGCAGGGAAGCAGCCCAGGTAGTGCAGTAGTTAAGTGCTTGGCTGCTAACTGAAAACTTGGCGGTTCGAACCCACCAGCTGCTCCATAGAAGAGAGATGTGGCAGTTTGCTGCCGTAAACATTACAGCCTTGGAAACCCTCTGGGGCAGTTATACTCTGTCCCACAGGATTGCTATGAGTCAGGATCGACTTGACAGCAATAGGATTTTTCTACAGATGGGAGCGGCCTCCCCCAGGGGTATAAAAGGCCACCAGGTGGGAGTATCTCTTCGATGCAGTTCACTCTCCAGAGCTCCCCAGAGGTCAGGCTGAGGCCAGCTTCACATCTTTTTCTGGCTTCATCCCTGCCCCATCTTGCTTTCCTCTTTTCCCTCAGTAAATGCCAAATACCCCACCAAATACCCCGTCTCAGCCTTTACTTTGGAAAGAACCTGACCTAAGACAGCCTGGAGGCCTGGCCCTCGGCCCGTGCACAGGGGCCCCCACCGGTGCCCCCACCTGAGGTCCCAGATCCTAGCGGTACAGTCCTCTCCTCCCGTGTACATCCAGCGACCGTCCTCATGGAAGCCCACGGATGCAATGTTCTTGCTGACGCCGTTGTAGCTGATGATGGGGTTGGGGTTATTGGAGTTGAGATCGTACATGCGGATGTGCTGGTAACCTAGGGGCATAGGCGGAATTTAAACTTGGCTGTGCCCAGGTCAATCCAGTGGAGGTCAGGAGTCAGGGGTCAAGGGTCAGCAGTACCTGCTGCTGCAATCATGCTGCGGTCTGGCGTGATCTCGAGCGCGTTCACCTGCTGGCCATGTCAAGGAGCATGACGGGAGAGGGAGACCACCACCATCTAGGCTGACCATTCCTACCCAAACCAGTCCTCCGCCCCTTTGCCCGTGGTCCCCCTGCCCCCAGGGTGAAAGATACAGAGTCCTGGTGCTGCACGGTGCGCGTGCAGATCCCACTGTGGGCCTGCCAGAACCGCACAGTATGGTCATAGCCGGCGGTGGCCAAGATGACCGGGTCACTGCCCACTGTGCCTGGGGAGGTGTTCATGGCGCGGCTGCTGGAGACACCAAGTCCCTGCACAGGGCCCGACAGCTGAACGGCGGGTCAAAGGTCAGAGCATCTGGGGGGAGAGACGTGTAGGATATAGGAAATACCCTCTGTGTATTAAATAGATTATGGAGCCCCGGTGGCGCAGTGGTTAAAGTGCTCGGCTGCTAAACGAAAGGTAGGCAGTTGGAGCCCACCAGCTGCTCCGCGGAAGAAGGATGTGGCAGTCTGCTTCCGTAAAGATTTACAGCCTTGGAAACCCTATGGGACAGTTCTATCTTGTCCTATAGGGTCGCTATGAGTCGGAACCCACTCCACGGCAATGGGTATTAAGTAGACCACAGGCTCACGCGGTCTTGCGAGATAAATACCATCATTCCAGTTTTAGAGATAGGGAAACTGAGGTCCAGAGAGACTCAGGGACATGTGCGGCAGCGGCGAGGAGCAGCTCCGAGACTCCAGGTCGCGCGCTCGGCTCCCCTCCCCACGCGCCTCGCGGGCACGTCACCCCACGCACTACCGGCAGGGGGCAATCACGCCCGCGGCGCCCGCTCTGCCGCAGGGTCGAGCCGCGCCTGCGCAGGGTAGCGGGCCCGCCGGGGAGGAGAGCCGAGCGCTGCGGGTGCGCACGCGCAGCAGGCCCGCGGCAGGACCTGATGGGAGGGGGCGCTGGCTGGCTGGTTCCCGGAGCTCCCCTGTGCTCCGCCGGCCGCCCTGGCTCGGTCCTACTGGGCCGGCTTCTCCCGGCCGCGCTCTCCTGGCCACCCGGCGGCCACCTCCCGGCCCTTGTCTCGCGGCCTCCGTACCTTACACGCGGCTCCCCACTCCACCGAGGCTCAGGACGGCGAGAGGAGCCAGAGCGAGTCGATCGAGGCCGAACGTAGAGTTATCGATGGTCCTTTAGGGCGAGACCATGGGGCGCGCCGGGTGGGGGGGACGGTGGGACGAAACCAAGGTGCTCCCACTCTCCTCCTTCGTGCTGCGGAGACCCCAACCTTCTCCCACTCTGGCACCCTGCCCCTCTGAAACGGCTGCTCATTTTCCAGGCTTGGGCCCCCAGGCAGGGTCTCCTCGTCCCCATGACCTGCCCCTACCCGCAATACCCTCACCCGAGGTTAGGGTTGCCAGAAAAATTATAGGACGCACAGTTAAATTTGTGTTTCAGATAAGCATAGAATAATTTTTTAGTATAAGTATATCCTGAATATTGCATAGGACATGCTTATACTAAAAATTAATTGCTTGTCTGAAATTCAAATCTAAGTGGACATTTTGTATTTTCATTATTATTTTGCTGTAATCTGGCAACCCTGGGGTTCCTGGGTGGCACAAACAGTTAAGCGCTTGGCTACTAACCAAAAGATTGGCAGTTTGAATCCACCCAGAAGCGCCTTGGAAGAAAGGCCTGGCAATCTACTTCCAAAGCCATGAAAGCCCTATGCAGCACAGTTCTACTCTGCACAGATGGGGTTGCCATGAGTCGCAATCTACGCAGCTGGTTTGGTTTGAGGTTTTTTGGCAACCCTACCCTGCCCCTTTCCTGCCTGTCCAACCCCATCCTTGTCCTAGGGAGAGGGAGCACTCAGCTCAGGGACTCCTCAAAACTGGAACCTTCCTGCCTCCTCCTTCTCCAACCCAGCCCTCCCCATTCCACGAATGTGGTCTCACCCTCCTTCACAGAAAATAGAGCCCTTTGAGACAGGCTCTCCCCCGGGTTCTTCCCACTGCATGTCCAGACACAGCCTGGCCCTCCCCTTCCTTCCTCCGGGCACAAGGCCGAGTCCCCCGCCAGTCCCCCCAGGCACCGGGTGCCAGCCCTCCTGCAGCCTGGGAACCTTCCTTCCTGTACCTTTCACCTCCTTCCTTCCCCTCAGCCTTTGTTGTTGTTGTCGCCTTCCAGTGGATTGCGACGCACGGCAGCCCCACATGACAGAGTAGAACTGCCCCATAGGGTTTCCCAGGCTGTAATCTTTATGGGGAGCCCTGGTGGCGCAGTGGTTGAGAGCTCGGCTGCTAATCACAAAGTTAGCAATTCGAATCCACCAGTTGCTCCTCGGAAACCCATGGGGCAGTTCTACTCTGTCCTATAGAGTCGGAATCGACCCGACAGCAATGGGTTGTGGAATCTTTATGGAAGCAGATCGCTAGATCTTTTCTCCCACAGAGCCACTGGTGGGTTCGAACCGGCAGTTGATGGCGACCCCATTTGTGCAGAGTAGCACTGTGTCCCACAGGGTTCTCGTGGCTTTGGAAGCAGATTGTTGCTCAGTTTGCAGCCGTGCTCTCAACCCTTGCGCTCCCAGTTCTCCTTTAAACACCATACCACAGCCCCCGCCCTCTCCTGCCAGCCTCACGGCCTTGGAATCTCTCCTTCTGCACCTCCTACCCGCCCCTCCTCCCTCTGTGAGCTGACTTTCCCCCAGCTCTCCAGTGAAAACGCTCACGAGGTCACTGGCAACCTCACTTTGCCAAATCTAGTGGCTACTTTCCTTCCACACCTTCACGTTGGGACCCATGGTGGACAACACCACTCCCCAAAAGCTCCCATCTCCTCCTCCTTAACAGGCACTCTGGGGGTTCCTCCTCCTCTTCCTGCCCCCCACCCCAGCCTCTTTTTTCTCCCTAAGGCTGGTGCCCCCTAGAATTCTTTTCTGCACACCACCCTGTCCTTGGGGCTCTCATCCACTCTGGGGCTTCCAGGACCACCCCTGCTCTGAGGCCTTCCCACCCATCTCCAGCTCAGGGGGCATCCAGAACCTCAGACCTGCAAGGCACATCTGCCCGTGGTAGGCCCTCTCACTCAAATACCCCTCAGACACCTCCACCTTCCGCACCAAGATGGTTCATCTGGCCCTGCCCCCCACGCTGCCCCCTGTGTCCCACCCATGCATTACACCTAGGTAAGATCCGGAAGCTTCCTCTCCCTCACCCTTCATGTCCCTTCAGCCCCAGATTTGGCCTCCTACACATAGCTCTGTTCTCTCATCTCCACTGCCCGTGCTCTAGCCCACGACGCCACCCCCGTGCCTGTAACAGCCTCCGAGCTGGTCTCTCATCCCACCCCGCTGCTGTCCGCCCTCTCCAGCCTGTCCTCTGCACACAGAGTGAGCTTCTCAAAACCTAAGTCAGGCCCTCTCATACCTCTGTTAGCAGTCTGCAGGGGCCCCCGTCACCCTCCACACCCTCGGGCCTGGCACTCGGGCCTGGCAGGGTGCTCCCTGCCGACCTCAGCATCTTTCCGTCTCTCCCCCAATGGGCGATGGGCGCTCCAGCCAGAGTGAGCAAACGTGTGAACTCCCACGCCCTCCTCTCGAGCCTTCCCTCTGCCTTCTCTGCCTGCCCAGCTCCTGGCTTTCAGTGCCTGTTCTAGCACTCGGGGGCTCGTCCTGGGTCGGAGGTCATGCTGGAGGTAAATTAACATTGCATGAAATGAAGCTCTGTAAGGCTCACAAGTCCTGGCACGTGGGACATTCACCACTTTGCTGCGCAGCCACCAGCTCTATCTAGTTTCCAAACGGCCTCATCACCCCAAAAGGGAACCCTGTGCTCCTCTCCCCTTCCTCTAGCCCCTGGCAACCGCTAATCTATGCGTGTGCCTGTGGAATTGCCTATTCTGGACATTTCACCGAGCTCTGGTGGCACAGTGGTGAAGCGTTCGGCTGCTAACCAAAAGGTCAGCAGTTTGAATCCACCACCAGCTGATCCTTGGAAACCCTACGGGACAGTTCTACTCTGTCCTTTAGGGTCGCTATGAGTCGGAATTGACTCGACAGCAATGGGTTTTTTTGTTCTGTTTTTATGGTAATTCCAAGGAGCCCTGGTGACGAAGTGGTTAGAGCACTTGGCTGCTAATCGAAAGGTTGGTGGTTCGAACCCACCAGCTCCTCCGTGGGAGAAAGATGTGGCGATCTGCTTCCGTAAAGATTAGAGCCTTGGAAACCCTATGGGGGGGGGGCAGTTCTACTCTGTCCTATAGGGGTGCCATGAGTGGGAATCGACTCAATGACAACAGGTGGTTTTGGTTTATGGTATCTCTCGGAGTCCTTGGGTGGTGCAAATGGTTAAGCGCTCGACTTGACTGAAAGGTTGGTGGTTCAAACCCACCCGGAGGCGCCTTGGAAGATAGGCCTAGTGGTCTGCTCCAAAAGGTCACACTCTTGAAACTCTGTGGAGCACAGTTCTACTCTGCACACATGGGGTCGCCGTGAGTTGGAATCGACTCCACATCAACTAACAACCACACAGTAACTCTATGTTCAGCTTTTTGAGGAGCCGCCAAGCCGTGCTGGGCATCTTACCTACATCCTTCCGCCTAGTGTTCACAGTGACTCTGCTGAGTAGGGACCCGCATTTTGGAGTTGGGGAAAATGAAGCTCAGAGATGCAGAATCACACATCCAAGGGCACACGGCTGGAACCTGGTAGAGGCCAGGGTTCATCCAGCCCCAGGCCCCACCTTGTGACCGAGGTGATTACTCCTGGGCAGCCCCTACACCACCTACGACCCCCTCATCTTTTCCTGAAAGACTAGGAGCTCCCTGGGGCAGACTCCAGGTCAGGCTCAGGGGCCACTACCATGAGGAATGGATGAATACGTGAACTAGGAAGGCCGGGAGAGGCGGGGCCCTGCGAACCACAGCACTCAGAAGGGCCTCAACCCACGAAGGAGACTGAGAGGGAGCACGGGTGAGACAGGTGAGGCCGACAAAGGGCTGGAAGACTCGGCCAGACGTCTGTGGGGTCCCACCTGTGGCCGGGGTGGTGGATGGCCCTGACTTCTTGGCCTTTTTGGGGGGAGCCTCTGTCTGCAGCATCCCTGGGGTCAGAGGCACACTCAGGAGATGTCCCGAGCCTGGGGCGCCAACAAACTGGGCAAGGCCCCCGCCCAGCCTAAGCTGCCAAGCCTCTGCCGGGCAGAAGCACAGGACAAGAGCTCATGTTGTTGATCACCTCGTACGTGCCAGCCCCAGCTGAGCGCTTTACCTAGGTGCCACCGGGAAAAATGACGGAAACAATTGCAGCTAACACATACTGCATGCTCCCGGCAGCCAGAGGGAGGGCACACTTGTCATGCCCATTTCACGGTGAGGGCCTAGGGCTTTGGGGGGCTGGGAGGGCACAGCAGCATGCAGGAGTAGGCAGCGCAGCCGCTGCCCAGGCAGCCGGGAAGGCGGCCAGCGCGGGTAGCAGTGAGCTGCCTCCAGCTCCGCTCGGGGCCGAGCCTCAGCAATTCTGCTGGCTCAGCGGCCCCCCCTCCGGGACGGTCCTCGGAGGCCGCCTTCCTGGACGGCTGCCAAGCCCCCGTCCTCCTCTCCCAGCCCGAGCGGCTGCCCACTGCACCGCCCTTCCTCCCCCATCCTGGGGGACCCCAGGCTGGCATATATCTCTGTTTACCTTCGAACCCTCCCGTCAGCCCTGGGTGGCAGGCAGAGCTGCTGGCCCGTTTTACAGATGAGGCAGCTGAGTGTTGGGAACTTGTCCAAGGTCGCTGGGCTGGTCCTGGGGGACCTGGCACCCCCTGACTCTCCTGCCACACTCCTCCCCACAGGGTGAGGAGTCTCTGGAGCCTAGGGCAGGATCCCACCTGGAGCCTACACTTGGGGTACCCAGGACCCCAGAATTCCCCACCTAACGGCCCCAAGTCCACTCTCAGTGCCTTTCCTGGGTCCACCCTCCTGAAGGCGGACCGCATAGCAGGGGGCCCACCTTGAGGTCTGGGGGTGACCACGGGGTGCCTGTGGGGTGCAGATGTTGCTGGGGCTGGGCAGGGAACAGGAGTATGGCTGCTGCAGGCGGCAGTCAGTTCTTCACTCCGGGAAACCCAAGAAGCCTGAACTTGAACTTGGCCTTCCAGGCTATTATTTGTCAAGGTGGGAAGCTGGAACATATTTCATTTAACAGGTTATTGGCGCGATTTATAACATTTAAATACTTAGATACGGGGGGAGCTGGCCTCTGTCTATACTCTTAGCCCAGTCCCTGCAAATGTTAGTCCCCTTAACCAGCCCCAACCAGCAGCATATGAGGCCAGGAGCTGGTGGTTTACCTTAACCAGGCCCAACCAGCAGCGTAACAGTAATGATGACCGCTGTCTGTTTAGAGTTTCTTGTGTGCCCGGCACACTGCAAGGCACCGCGGGCACAACGATGAATAAAGTACAGTCGCTGCCCAGGCGCCTAGGTGGACAGCCCCAGGAATAGCGCCGGATCCACAGCAGCCAGCTTGGAGCACTCACCGAGTCCCGCTGCTGTGTGCTGCCTGGACACTAGCACACTTACCCTCACACAACCTAGGAGGAGCTGCCATTTTTATCCCCATTTTACAGATGGAGAAACAGAGACCGAGCCAAACAAAGCAACCAGCTCATTGTCGCAAAATCAGTAAGAGGCAGAACACGGCCAAGTCGAGAGGCCACGACCTCAGGCGAGTCATTTAGCTTCTCTGAGCCTCAGTTTCTTCATCTGTAAAATGGGGACAATAAATCCAGCCTATAAGGTGATCATCATAAAGGGTGGGGGGAAGGCCCCTTGCATTTTGGGACCCCTCTGGGAGCTCAGCACGTGTGGGGGATCTAGGTTTCATCCCGACACCCCACGGGAGACCCCACGGGGCAATACCAGCTGCCTCATCAGGGGACCCCTATCCCGCTGCTTCTCCTCCCCCACCCTCTGGCCACCCTCTTCCTGGACCTGCCTGATGCTCTGGGCTCTGGGCGTGGCTATTGTATGTATGGCCCCCCACCAAATTCTCCTAGCAGCCTTGCCAGGCTGGGTGACGATCTGCCCACCCTGCAAATGAGGAGACCGAGGCTGAGCCAGGACACGGCCCCTGACAGGCCAGGCCGTCCCTAGGAGGCTGCAGCGTGACGAGGTGAGGGCCTGAGCTGGCCCAGGCCGAGGGCAGAGGTCAGGAGGGTGACGCCCTAGTATGGGTGGAGGATCATCGTCAGCTTTGTCTAGCAGGGCCACCAGTCTGTGACTGGAGCTCAGCAGGCTTGGCCGGGCTCAGACTGGTGTGGGACTGGGCTGCAGCTGAGCTGGTGCTGAGGGTGGGTGATTGAGCCCCGGTTGGTGCTGGAGATGGGGTGCTGTGCCCCAGTTGGGTCCATGCTGGGGATGGAGATTTGAGCCCTGGCTTGTGCTGGGTGTGGAGGGGTTGAGCCCTGCTTGGTGCTGGGATGGAGGGTTGTATCCTAGTTGGTGCTGGAGATGAGGGGTTCATCCCAGGTTGGTTGTGGAATGGGGGGTTGAGCCCCACTTGATGCTGGGGGTTGGGGATTGAGCCCCGGTTGGGTTGATGCTAGGGGTGGAGTTTGGGCCCTGGCTGGGTGTGGGGGGGGCAGTGCCCCAGCCGGTGCTGGGTGGGGGCTGCGCGGGGGTTGGGGTTCAGATTGAGGCTGGGGGAGCCGTTGCCCTGCATTGTTGTGAGGAGGAGTGGAGGATTCAGGGGAAGAAGGTGCAGTGGGGGTGCGGGTTCCCTGACACCGAATTCATTAGTGGGAGATTTCCTTTTCACAATCCCTCGACACCTCCCACGGGAACCACGGGCCAGAAAAGTCTGACAGCCCCCGGCGGGACGCTCGGTGGCAGGTGCCCGGGTCCCCGCCCGCCGCCCGCAGCCCCGGAGTCCCTCCCCACCCCCCCGGTCCCCGCAGCCTCGGGAAACCTCGCCCAGCTCAGCCTCGCGCCGCCGCCGCTTCGGTCTCCGCTCC